TCCAAATGAAGTTGAAACCAATAGATCCTACTGCTTGACAATTTTTATAAATAATGGATCAGACTTTGACGTGTATGCATGACTTTAAGTTTAATCAATATCACCTATTGTTGATGTAACATATAAAGATCAAAATTATGAAATTGTATATACAAATGAATTCTAACTATTTAAAGACGACCAACGAATTAGAAGAAAGAAAGAAATAAATAAATAAGAGGTCAGTTCTCTCTCAGCTCATAAATTTTATCTTATTCATACCAAGATTTCAACCTAAAAATTCCAAGATGGAGTCTTAAACTCTAGCCATTGGGATCGGATATAATTAAATAAATATATAGTAATTAGTAAAGATATGTAGTTAAATAGATATAACTAGGGAGACATGAACATATATTTTTGAACTAACAAATTCCAAAATTCACCCACTTCTAATATACGATCTGGATTAATTTGTGTTGTTGTAGAGGCGATCGTTGAAAGTAGGAAATCACTATAAAATTAACATATATAGAGAAAGGATATCTATCATAAAATTATTTACAACTTAAATTAATTAAGAGACAAACCAAAATTAAATCACCATAGTAAAGAGAAGTTGCGAAATTGATGTTATAATTTGTATATTTCAAACACACACATATATATATAATTTATATAAAAAAAATGTTTTAAAGTGTTGAACATATAGGTACATACATTCATTATATTTGACTATTATAGAGAATGAATTCCATTTGTTATAAAATGGACCTCTATTATTAAGTAGATAAATGTGATTTTATTAAGAAAGTCCAAAGTACAAAGGCCAGAGCTGCTTGTTTCTTACAGATAGCTCCTAAGATTTATATTCTTATTCGTTGTACGTCCTCACTTGAAACTACTCTCCAGATCCATTCCTTCCTCGAAATGCTGGCTATCTCCATGCGAATCTGTTGGTGCAGGAGTGAACTTTACAAGGTCAGTCTCCTGTTGACAGACGCCTTGTGGGTCAAATGTGTGTGGGCAGTCGATGGGTGTAAGAGGC